TTTGCCTGTTCTCTAAGCAGTTTCACAACAGATCTTACCAGAGAAGCTATTCTTGTCAGTCTCACGATGCCATCAAAAATTCCCTGTTTGAATTTAACTGCTTATCTAAGTTTTGTTCCTTTTCTCCTAGCAGCATCTCATAATTACAAGTGATTGCACTCGGAATTGCCTGAAACCATTGCCCAAAAGACTCATCATACAACCAGACTGGGGAAGGATGATCGGAGAAATTTAATATCAAGAAGATAAGTTGGAGTGTCATGGGTTTAGTGAGTGAAACAGATATCGTACTGAAAAGATCTAATGCCCTTCTTAATCCATTCTAGGTTTATACTGAAGTTTATCTGGAATCTGGCAAATTGGTAGATTGGGACTACTGGTTCAAGATCCCAAATTTCTGAACATAGGAAGGAATGTAATTGTGTTTAGACAAACAAAAAAGTAGATCCTTGATTTAACAGGCCTCAGTTTGGCAGATTGGATTAAACAGATAAAACATGTCTATATACATGACATGTTTGCCATTTTATGCAGGTGTAAAATATGTAAAACACACATGCATAAAATCTCATTCAGAAATAACAGATATTCTGCTTTAATGGAACCTCTTCCCCCACCAGGCCATTAAATCAAGGGTTGATTGTACTTAAATATGAAGCAAAGTAAGCTGGTAGCCCAGGAAGCAAGACGGTATCACCAAAAAGTTTCAGAAGACCTTTCCAGATCTTACAGAATTATTCTAGATAGGCCATTTGAAACCTTATACAATAGGTTTACATAAATATCCTCAACACTGATCTAGAATAGCCTTTCCCAACATGATGCTCTGAATATGTGCTAGTCCACAATACCCATCTCATGTAATCCAATCAACCTTGAACTCTGACACTTCATTTGTTAGATCTATATCCCATTCAGGAGTTCGAAGTGGTGTGCTTAATCCTCCCTCCTCCAATTTGTCTCCACACACAATAACCCTGTGAGAGAGGTTGGGCTGAGAGGGAAGGACTGGTCTAAAGTCATCTGATGAGCCTCACTGCTGAGGATCGACTAGAACCTGGGCCTCCCTGCTCCTAGTCCAACACTGACACTACTACTCCATTATGGTTCTTGGGCTGAGGGAGAGGAACAGGTCCAAGTTCCCCAACAACTTTTTGTGTCTGAGGATGGACTTGGACCTGGGTCTCACTGATGGCAGTCCAGCATCTTAACCCCTATGTACACTGGCTCATCTGGTCTCTTCTTCCTTCTCCACTGCAGTAATGGTCATGGTCTTGCACCCCTGGTCATGTTTGGGGCTTGACCTTAGAAAACAGACAAGGGAAAGAAGTTTTCACTGTCTTCTCCCAGAGGTCTTTGAAGGAACCTGATGCCTCAGGTTTCTTCCAATCTTCACCTTATTCCTGGTTGCCCTTGTTATTCTGTTTTCTTCCTCATTAGCAACTGGAGACCATTGATCAGCCCTGTGCAAAAGCTGCTCTCTGAGACACAAGCTAGGTAGCTCTTGCTAATTGTTTGTTTGGGTACTATTAGCAAATGCAACCGGGCAGCTGGAAGAGCTTCAATGCCTTGAGAAGCCGATGTGTATCCAGCTCTTCAGAAATCTTTGGTCTTTTAAAAGGGATAAGTGACTCCCTTGGTTTGCTTTTCCTTTTTTGCAGAAGAGGCTATTATAGCCTTGACATTTCTCTAATCACCAACATCAAGGTGCAGAACTGTAGAGCATCATGGAAAAAGAAAGGGGGAAGGAGAGAAAAAGAGAAGACAACTTTGGAGAATGGTAAAGATTCTGACCTCTGACCTTTCTTCTGAAGAAAGAGGTCCAGTCTCTAGAGCAGCGTTTCTCAACCTTGGCAATTTTAAGACATGGGGACTTAATTCCCCAGCATGGCTGGGTGGGGAATTCTGGGAGTTGAAGTCCACATGTCTTAAAGTTGCCAAGGTTGAGGAACGCTGCTCTAGACATTGTTCAGTTTTTGGACAGATGGAAATTTGTCTCAGGTATCGGCTTGGTAAGGGAGGCTGAGTAACCAGGAGCTTCTTGCACCCTTACTGGGCATGCCTCATACTGCAAGCAGAGCCACCATGAATGAACTAGACAGGACACATGCTAGAAGTGGTAACTTCATAGAAATATCCATGCAGCATTCTGGCAATTTTTGAAATCTTTACAGAATCTGGGATGGGCCAATAGGCGGTTGTGCAAAACTTCTCCTCTGCTGCTTATGTCATGGAATCGACTCCTTGATCACTGCATCTTTCTTAGCAGATGAGTTCACTCTGCAGGCTGGTTAGTGAGCTGATCGATTTTCTAGGTTTGCACAATGCGGTGAACCATAAATTAAAGAGGTTAGGCTCACGCTGCCCGCTAAGCCATAAAAGCAAACTAAGGTTAAAACTAACCAAGCTAAGTGTGGTGCGCAAATGTATATGTTAGATCTTTTTTCAGGCCCAGTTAACTGTTGTGTGAACACAAATGCAGCTACTGGGGTTGTAACTGATCTGCTGAGATGTTTTGTTTTAAATGGCATGTATTGATTTGGGTTGATTTGGATGAATCCTCACATCCCCGGTCTCTGATAACTCAAAAGAGAGAAGTCTTGTGGCGTGATTATCACATGCACAGAGATGGAAAGACTCGACACTACCCACCATGGAGGAATGGTTGGTGAAATTGACAGATCTTGCTGAGATGGACAAACTGACTTCTTTGATTAGAGAAAAAATACTATTGACATTTATTGATGATGGGAAACCTCTTATGGACTTCTTGCATAAAAATGAAAAAAACGAACTTGTGATTTATGGTTTTGATGATTAGACAGGATAGATGATAGAAAGAGTATTACGATGTCACTTTAGAGAGAGAGGTTAAAATATAATTGTACTTATAAATACTGTGAAGAATATTGGAAGCTACTTCTTTGTATCTTCTTCTTTCCATTTTTCTTTAAT